GTTTTTTTCCTTTCCCTCTGACCTTACAATGAGAGAGCAGGTGGGTAAATGGAAAGATGATAGGGGGAAGGAAAGTGAGGGATATCAATGGAGTATTGAAATAAGAAGTCAGTTCATTGGGCTTCAGGAGGACAAATCATAAGAGACTCAAAACTTTACAAAGGGGAAGAGGTATTTCCAGCAAGATTTCTCAGAGAGAGCTGTCTTCCTAAGGAAGATCCATGTATCCTTTTTGAGTAATGGATAGTTTATGATGAAACATGATGAGAGTGATAGTTATTGCCCTCCATGAAGAATATCAGTGACAATTCAGAAATACACAGGGAATATGCAAGCAAGGTAGTCCAGTTTGACCATGTAGGAGTGGAATAGAAGTTAAAGCATCAGAAGCTAAAATATTTGAACTGTTTTGTCTGCTATAAAAATTCTTGCTGGATACCCCCAACTACAAGGATCTACTTTATTAAATTTTTTTTGGTATCTGAATAAGTCTAAAGAAACTGAAAGTGTTAATAAGGATTAAAATGATTAAAATGAATAATTGATAATTTGAAATAGGAAGAAAAGGCCCAAAGGGGTAGGGGAAGTGGGAGGGGAAGGGGGAAGGAAAGAAGGGAGAGGAAAAACTATGAGAAAAAGAAAAAAATGGAAACAAAGTCTTTGTAAATAGGGAAGGGTGGAGGGGGTGAAAGGAGGACAGGGCATGGGGAAAAAATAAGAACCAAGATACATCATGTACAGGTACAAGTACCCAATGATAAATGTAAATGTATTGTATACCTAAAATGTACCAATAAAAGAATTTAAGGGAAAAAAAGTAATTAATGTGGACTTCTTACTAGCATCTGGAACAGATATGTATTCTAACATAATTAGACCAAATAAATGGGCTGATTATTAGATTCAAATGTAATCTACATGCTTGATCAATATTTGAATAAATGGCTTCTTTTGTTATTCTTCATCCATAAAAAATATGTTATTATTTAATGTTTTATTTAATCTTCTTTTCCTAGCTCAGTAAGAATAGTTTGAATGCAGGCCCTGTGTTATTGCATATCTTAAACCTTTACTTCAGCTTTATCAATTTACTTTGATCCTAATTTAGCCCCAGTACTGGTTCTACTTGAGAAAATGTTGAGACTTAACTAATATTTGTTCAATTGATTAGTTTTTCACAGATTAAGGGAAAAAACTAAAAAGAGAAAAACTGACGAGCAAAATACTTGTGTTAGGGTAGATTCAAGATGTTGTTTTAGTAGTACAGGGATACAATATTGAGATAATAATCCGTGTAACAAAGAAGAAAATGGAAAGAAATGTTTTCATAGGAAAACTGTGAAAGAAAAGACATTTGTTTTGCCTATTAGGCTTTTCTTGTTGGTATAAGAGGAATTAAAAACATAATGTTGCTACTGAGGAAAGAAGTTTCAAGGAAAGAGTTGCAAATTAGGTGGGGCTTAATGAAGCCTAAAGATTGAGGATATTAACATAGATAAACAACATGGATAGCCAACTAATAGGTGTATTGTCTACATGGTTTAGAAGCTAATTCTACATGGCTAATCCCAGAAAGCCCTTCCCACAGAGCTGGGAAGTTCTGTGATAATTCACCCAGACAATATTTCTTACAAAGCCTTTAGTACCTAACAAAAAATCCTTGTGGAGGGAGAACCACTCAGTCCTATTTGATCTTATCTTTGCTTTACCAGCAACAGAAGCCTTTTCCGAAAGTTGCATGTCCACCTGGATGGGTTTTTAAATGCCTAATGGTTCAAGCACTGTCGAATCTCCCCCAGGGTCCTCATGAAGAGAAAGAATTTTAACTATGATGTGACACAGGGGCTTGTACATTTTGTTGAGATGTGGCAGTTTTCTTTCCCAAGTTAAGCTTTGTTTGATTCAGAATTCAGTTACCTGAACTCAGACTTTAAATTACTCCTTATCCTGACATTAAACTTACAAGTTTTAGGTAAAATCATTCAACTAAGATTAGAAGTTTTAGTTTTGTGAGTTCTTTTTTCCAAAGCAGGAAATGAATATTTTTTAACAATCACAGTAAAACAAAAATTATAATTTAGGAAAGAGATAATGAAATCAGACACAGCTATTTTGTATTTGTAGGCTGGCGCAGCCAAGAAAACTTTGTGGAAGAATTTAACTTGATTCAAACCCTTCAGAAAAACATGGGCTTAGAGACCTGAGTGTGGTGGAACATGCCTATAATCCCACCACTTAGGAGGCTGAGGTAGAAGAATCACTGAGTTTGAGGCCAGCCTAGGCTACATAATGAGTTCAAGGCCAGCTTGGACCACACAGTGAGATGGTAAGAGACCCTGTCTCAAAAAACCAAAACAAACAAAACCCCCCTAAAACATAGGTTTGGGATTGGTGGCAAACAAGAAACTCCTGGAAGAGTAATTGTTCCTATTTCAATAGAACATTGTTGCTCACAAGGTATTTTCACCTACATTATATTTGACTTTCACAAGAGCTGTCTGACATAGAACTTTTCAAATGTTACCTTTGTGCAAGTTAGCGTTAAATGCATGTCCTGTGCTCATTATGATGCCTGGTACAGAGGAGGTGGGCTGGGAGTCAAATGAAGTGAATTATATAATCTTAAATGCTTGCTATGGACAGGTATTAATAACCTGAGCTACAGATGTGAAAATGGAAGTCTATAGAATTTAGCTAAGTTGCCCAAGTCAAAGTAAATGACAGAACACTACCCCAAGGGATATAAAGTATAATGGTGATAAATCATTAGATGTAGGAAGCCTATTTTGTATATCTTTGAATTTATAGTATGAGACATAATGACTTAGGTATAAATGATGACTAAATATTTCTAAATGTAAATAAATTTGTGTTGAATCATTTCATAATAATTCAGTAAATATGGAATTAGAAGTAATTGATTTAAATTTTCAGAGTACTTAGCTTTGCTGAGTAACTTTTGCCTACGTTTCAGTATTACTTACCTAATAGGGATGCAACAAGAGTAAGTAGACATAATTGCAAGATTTTATCCATATCTGGAGGTGAATCTACCAGTAGGAAGCATTTTCAAAAATTTACTTTCCCCTGTAAAGTATACAAATTTGTATTTGACTATGTACGTGGTAGCCTGCTCCCTTTTTGGCTTGGCATTTGTTATGTCAGAAACCTCTTTGATTTCCTTCTACCTTATTACAGCAAATCATAAGCTATCAAATATATTTTCTCAAGTAAAATACATGCAAATTTATGTATATATTCATATATAACTAATATGTTACAAAATTATGTGTGTATGTATGTGATTTTGTGTGTGTGTGTGTGTGTGTATGTGTGAATTTGTGTGTATGGTATATTCCCAAAATATATATTTCATAGTCAAGGACAGCAGCCTTGCAAACAACTTTGACTAGCTCCTCCCTTTCAAAATTAAACAGGTGTTAGATGAAAAGACAATCGAACAGAAACTGAAACAAGAATGTCATGACCTGTAAGCACTCCTATTACTATTTTCACAGGCTCAAGAGAAGATTGTCCAATAGTAACATAAATATACTCTCAGTAATTAAATTAAAAGTAATTGAATTAAATTAAAGACTAAATAAAAGACCATACAAATAAAGCACTTAAAACTGTGTCCAGTGTATCTAAATATCCAGTAAATGTTGGATGCTTTTATAAGTAACCATGCGAAAGTATGAATTTTAAAAGCGGGAACATATTAACTTTTACTTTTACTTATCTAAATTGATTTTTATAAAAATAACCATGGTGGCCAGATATAACACCAAAACTTCAGTACTAGTAATACTATCTAAAATTAATGAATGTATGCTAAATGTTGTAGTTGCATAGTCTCATTTAGTTTTCACAGCACTATAGTAAGAGAAGTGTTACATTGTCTTCATTTTACAGAAAATGGAGATTAAACTGATCACACCCTGGCTAGTGCCTGAATCAGATTTTAAGATCCCTTTAATTTCAGAATTTTCATGAAACTGCTGTAATACTTAAGTTGTTTGATATTCTTGAACCTCATTTTTCTCACCTATACCATGAAAAGGAATAATAGTTTCCTTATATGTTGTTGGGAGAACTTAATGCATAACATGTATAAAGGAACTTAATATGTATAGTGTCTAATACATAGCAGTTATAGTACTACTGGTAATCATTACTACCATATTAGCCTTATGTTTTTAGATCTCTGAATATAAATTAGAATATTAATTTGAAGTTGACTTTGGAGAGGAGGTAAATGAATACTACTGCAGAATTACTAATCTATTGCTAAGCAACTAGCTGGCCTCTACTGTAATACAAAGGCAGAATCTCTCTCTTTAGACCCTGATGCGCCTATCCTTTCTGAAGACTCAAATTAGATTTGTTGTTATTTGCTTTCAGTTACTCTCTAGTTTATTTTTTTCTCAGTTTTTATTTTTGTAGTAGTACATGTTTATAGTGCATAATTATTACTGGTCTAAAATACAGTTTATGATATGAGATAAAAAGTTAATCTGAGGCATATATTGTCCTGTGGGAGAGGAGTTTCATATTAATTGCAGTTATTAGTTTTTCTGACTTTGTTTCCTAATACGCTACAGATTTTCAAGGGCCTTAATCATATCTTACTCATTTATCTACAGAGTCTTTTTTGGGGGGGCTCATAGTAGGTGCTTAGTGAATAAGCTTTATGTGAAGTAAGAAATAATGCAAGCAAAACAGTTTTAACATACGTTATCTTTTGGGGCTACCTTTCAAGTCTGAGATCCTATTTAATTTAACAATTACTATTATAACATCACTGTCACTAGATTCTCTAAAGTTTCAATAAACATTTTTACCCACTAAAATTAGATATAGCATATAGTTGGAGAAAATCACTTACTCTAATGATTGAAATTAACATGACACATTACTGATACCATAAAATAGTAACGATAAAAATTTTCTTTTTGTTCATCATAAAAATAACTCCTTACCACTCTCCTTTCTTCTAGCACTAGTGGAGGACTACTGATCTGTCAGTTTTTCTTGAATAAAGAAGCCCCTTTTCCAAGAGAGACTAGGAAGTGCAGAATTTGTAAGATTCTTCTTCATGGAGCACAGCATGAGCACATCAGAATGCAGACTCCCCCCTCAGGTAGGCCCATGGCATGTCCCTGCTGAGGCTGGAGGTGGTAATATTCATTATTGAGGTTATCCTCATTCCAGAGGGTGGAACTTCTTGGTATGAATTCACATAATAACAGAGTTTAAGGAATTTCCAGTTCTTTCAGCACTTGCCTGTCTAGGGCTGTCTTTCAGTTTTCCTGCAATCAGTAAGATTCAGCTCTTAAAAAATCCCTTAGATTGTCCACTTTGAACATACAAAAAGGCAACATATTATATTATATTCAGACAGAAGAAAATCTTTTTCCTATAATGGGAAAACTTTAACATACTATTTTACAAAGCTAGAGTGTTGTTAAGTACATACAAAATTCTCATTTCTTTCTCAATGAAGGGGTGGAGTGAGGATGGCAGAAGTGAGGGAGCATCTGTTAAAGCCCTGACAATGTTATAGATGAACTAATAGCCCAGAACTTTTCTTCTCTCCTATGACTCCTGGCTTTAGGAGAATCATCCCATACAATTATGTAGTCCTGTTCATTCTATTGTTTCACCATAGGAAATTTAGGTACATGAGACAGTGAACAATTCTTGGTTTTTTGGGGTTAGTTGAGCATCCCTAGGACTGGATGTTCAGTAAAGGCCACAGAACCAGCCCAGATCTCTGCAGAGTAAATGTGAGGCTTGACTAAGGGAGCAGCTGGGGGAGATGTGAGGGTGTGTTACAAAGAAAGCTTTACTAGTTGATACTAAAAGTACCAGCAGTCACCTCACATACACAGTTATCTTTTCCCCAGCACTTCAATTCTAGAGTAAGAAAATTGTGATTAATTACCATAGTCCTTTACTTAGAAACTATTTTTATGTAAGTTATTTCCTTGATATATTTTCTCTCAATACTCATTTTAACCTTATTACTCCCAGATAAATGTTATTGTGTGTATATTCATGTGATCAAATAAGAAACTGGAGAGCATAACAGACACAAAGGGCTTGTGAATGTTGCTCCCCCCGCTTTGTATGTCTGCAGAACATTTCTGTTACCTGAAGGAAAGCTTTTTTAGAGCACTGAAGGACTCAACCCAACTAACCCCATCAGATTTTTAGTGCTAAAGAAATGAGAAGGAAAATAAACTAGAAAGGATCATTTGTTCCCAATTAACTCTGCCTATCTATGGGTCTGAGATCATTACTTCCACAAAATAATCTTTTCCCCTCTTCCCCAGCAGGACATATCATTGTCATAAGTGTTGGCAACTACCTTTCCTATACCCAAACAAGGAAACAAAAGTTATGTGGAATTTTGCTGCTGTAGAAAAACTTGGACCATTCCTGGAGCAGCTGTATTGAGTTACCTTCCTCTCTAGATCTGGATTTGACCCAAGGAAACATAGTCTGTATGATTTGGTGTCTGTTTACATCCTGTGATCCATCCTGTCTGTACTCCCCACTCCCATTCTCAGTCAAGGCAGCCTTGAGCAAATTTAATGTCTGAACTAATCGGATCTGAGAGTTCTAAGCATTAATTGAACATTCCTGTGAACATTACATGACAGAGTTGAAATGTAATGGTTTTACCACAAACAGATCCATGTCATCTTCTAGATAGGTGGATTATTTCAAAACACCAGTTTGCAGACTCACTAAATTGAAAACTTATTATCGAACAGATTTCTAGGTTCTATCATTCATGATTTTTCCAGTATGTTTAATAGGCAGTCACTTGTTCTGAGCTTTTAGATTTCAAATCAGAAGTTACTTGGGATAGATCCCTTGAGCCCTCATATAGTGCAGTCAATTTTGCTTTATCCACCTTGTTGCAGTGATGTCTGTTCAATTTGCAAGTACAAGAATTAGGTCAGTTTGTAACCTAAGTGAAAGAAACCAGGAGTTCCAATAGCAGTCTGTTGAGTTACTCCAACAGAATAATCCAGTCAGTCCTACCTTCCAGAAACACTGAGATCCAAAGATAGCTGTACAAAGAGATTATGAGCAGAAGGCCAGTAGTACTCCCCATATATGCATATATTGTGATATGTGTGTGTGCCTAAACATGTGTACACACTCTCATTGGCTTGTCTCTGAGAGCCATGGATAGAATTGGCCAACCTTTTGGCCAGAACTACTATTTATCGTTGCTCAGACTGTGCACTGCATAGTTTTGGGAACCATTTCACAGACTACTATGTGAATTGCCTCTAACAGTTGTGCCATGCAGTGGTCTTTGAAAGGAGTGACTCATTATTTTGACAAAAAGAAGGAGCCCACCACTGAGAAAGCAAACACAGTGTTCTGGGATGAAATTTTAACAGAATTCAGTGAGATCGTCTTCATGTTATGCAGCTGGGTCTCAAGCTCTACTCTCAGCAGATGCAAACACATATGGACACACTCTACTTTCTGGTCTTCTCTCTTTCTCTAATCCAGGGTGATGTGCAATAGTTTTCCTCTACACTTCTGTATCACAGATGAATTGGGAAATACCACAAAAAATTAGAAGTGGAGAGGTAGTTTGTGTTAAGTGATTTCTCAACTTAAGGCTTCTCGAGCATTCTGGAACTGCTTAACTGTCTCGATTGCCTTTATCTGCAGAGCCCTTTTGTTGAAACCCAGTCCCATGCAAATAAGCACGTTCATTTCATGCAACACAGCTCAGTTAATGCTTATAGTTCTAAATTCCCCAATTTAGCGAGAACAACTCAGTTGGAAGTGCCTAGTACAAAGGAACATGCATAGCGCAGCAACAGGGAATATTCATCAACAACACAAGAAAGTAAAGGAGCTGCAAAGGTACAGTAGCTAGAGGAGGATGAGCTTTACTGATTTCAGTTCAAGAAAAGTCTGTTGCCTATACAGTCCACTGGTTTGCTCTTGGCTGTGAGATGTCGTTACATTCAAAGTAAATCATATTAATTTCCAAGCTTGTCTGGCATCAGGAGCTGGAGTGTTCCCTCAATTGCGATCTTTCCCTCAAAACCAATCCTAAGCTTTTGGATTTGTTTTATTAAGTGATTGAATAGCCCTGAAATGTGAATTTCCTCTAATCTCTTTCACTTTGCAAACTCCAAAAGCATTAGATCAGTAAGTTAAAACTCAAAGAGGACTGACTTAGCTAAGGCTTCAGACATGCAAAGCGCACAACCCTGAGGGATAGCAGCATCTGGGACAGGAGGCTCCCTTTACTTCACACGAGGATGGCATGAGTTTTACAAATCAAACACACACAAAAAAACAGTTGTGGCCCAGATTGGATACACAGTATGGGACGCATAGTTGAGAGAGGACCCAGACCAGGGAGCCACCTGTTCCTCTAGCTTGCATACATTTATGTCACACCACCTCAAGCCACTCACAGTTTGCTTACCTGCTCATTGTTGCTCTCCCACCATTCCCCATACTCCCTTTGGGGGTGAAACACTCTATTTCCGACTTGTGCTGGGCCAGTCTCCTGTCTTTGTACCTGGTGAGCATGAACAAGGACAGGAGCAAATAGAAAGGCGTGATTGTGTGCTTTAACTGCCAGGCTGAGAAGGAGTCATGACCACAGAGAGGGTCACCTCATGCCAAAATAGGCATTCTTGCTTCTCAGTGCATTGCCTGACCTTTGATACTGATTCCACATTTGTGATGGTGTTTGGAAAAATATTGAGCATGATTTTAATACTTCTGGATGAAACCACATGTAATCCATCCCTTTTTTCATTCCTGATTAATTTGTGAATTCATCATGTCTTAATAGTCAATTGTAAAAGGATGCAAGTTCTACCATGTAAAAAAAGATGCATATTAATCATTAATTACAACCAATTTAGCGCTTACCAGGTATCAGACACTATTCTAGAACATTACTTAAGTTTAATACTGTCAGCAGACCTATATAGTAGAGGCTTTGGTATTATTATTTCCATGTAACTGATGAAGTAAAGGTTAAGTAAATTGATCAAAGGCAAACAAAAGTGGTTGGGCTGGGCTTTGAAAATAAAGTCAAAATTTATAATCCACACTTTAGTCCCTATAATGTGTTGGCTTTCATTATTTCATTATCAATTTTGTTGATTTTTTTATGGTACCAGAAATTGAACTCAGAACCTTGCGCTTGCAAAACAGGTGCAGTGTCACTGAGCTAATTTCCTGACCGTCATTATCTGGGCTTTTAAAAACTAAAACTTATCCTAATCAAACTTCACTTAGTGTTACTATGTCTGAATATTGTGTTAGACATTTGTAATACCAAAAGAGAGAAGATATGTTACTTGAATATGAAAGTTTCTTGTAACTATTAAATTAAAGCCGATAGTCAGTATTGGATTGCTTGCATTTTGGAATGTGATCCACTAGCTTTTGTATTAGAATTAGCAGTTTGGCTCTCCCACAGGGTACTAAGTATTTCATCTAAAATAAATAAGCCAGGCACAGTGGCACATGCCTGTAATCCTGAGAGGTGGAGGGAGAAATATCACAAGTTTGGGCTTAGCCTAGGCAACTTAGTGACACCTGTCTCTAAATAAATAAATAAATAAATAAATAAAAAGGACTCGATATGTAGCTCAATGTGAAGGTACTGGGTTCAAGTCCCAGTACTTCAAAAGAAAGAAAGGGGAAGGAAGGATGGAAGTAAAGAGAAAGAAAAGGAAGAAAGAGGGAGGGAGGAAGGGAGGGAAGGAAAGATAGATTGGGTGATTCCCAATATTATTTTCCTACAAGATACATCAAGATGAGTCCTTATGCATCAATGACAGTTTTTTTTGTTTATATTCTTTTACAGACATGATCTCTTTTACTTGTCAATTTAAATCTGTTGGGTAGATAGAAAACCACCATTCTTCCCATTTGCTAATTTAAGAGACCAAGACTTACTTCATCAAAGTCACAAGCCTATTAGTAGAAAAGAACTTTTCATTGAACTTTCAGGGATCCATGACTGAGGTTTTAGTATCTTTTCACCTATAAAACTGGAGCCTGATATGATTCCAATTCATCTGTGTTTCTGGTATTCAACAGGCAATGAGTAAAATAACCAATTTGGACAGTTCTATGGTCTGGTGTTTTGCAGACCCCCAAAATTCCTAAGTTGAAGTCCTAATCATTAAGGTAATCATATTAGGAGGTGGGACCTTTGAGAGGTGATTAGGCTATGATGGCATTGCCCTCATCAACTGGCTCTATCCCTTTAAAAAAGAAACTTCAGGGAGTTTCCTTGCTCCTTTCACCAGGTAAAGACATAGCAAAAAAACACCATCTATAAACTTTAAGTGGACCTTAACCAGAAACTGAAGTGCCAATTCTTTGATTGTGAATTTCTTATCCCCCAGAACTGTGAAAAATAACTGTTGTTCATAAGTCACACAGTTTTGGGTAGTATTGTAGCAGCCTGCACAAACTAAGACAGGGAAGGAGCTTATGGTCAGCAGGAAATTAGGAAAAATGGTTGGGGAGCAGTGAAATTCTGAAGTCAAGAAGCTCAGACAGAAGAGAGTATTTATTCCTTTAGGGAAATCTTACTTTCTGATCCTGGCAATTATAAAGTGATGAGAGGAGCTGTGGTATCATATATATTTAAATAACATTTACAATATAATGGAAAAACTCTTCCCTTACCATTTAATTCCTTCAAGAAACTCAATAGGGTAATTGATATCCTCACCCTTTAGATAAGGAACTGTGGCTCAAAAGGTTTCATACTCCATCGCAGCCCCTTAGCTAGTAAGTCACATATGTGGGATGATTAGAAACCAAATGTTTTACCTCCAAATCTCATGCTCTTTATTGACACCTTACTTTTTTCTTCATTGTGTGCTAATAAAAAACCCTTATTGAAATAGTTTGTTAACACATTTGAAAGAAAGGTCATAAATAAAGATAATAGTGTGTACTTAGTAGAGGTAGGTTTGGAGCATAAAATAAACTTATTTTTTAAAGGTCAAATTTGACTACATAACAGCTAAGTAGAATAAATCACCCTTCAGGGCCTCTGATAACATGAAAACTGAATGCCCTTCCACTGTCTGCAGTTAACTCAGACAAGAATAGATCAAAAATGTGGAGGCTGTAAGAGGCAAGGCTGAGAAGAACTGACAGCTAGTGTTGTTGTGTGAGATGCTGTGGGATCAGAAGACAGACAAAGATGAGAAGATTTCAACAGCTCCAGAGTGTTGGCAGGAGAACTGATTTCAGCTTTCTAAGTAAAAATGATTAGAGGAAAGTGCTTGATGAGGGCAGAAGGAAAGTCATAATGCACATTTAGTTTGGAGAGAGAGTAATACCAAATTTAAAGTGTTCATTCTTACAGAGTAACATTGCAAAGTAATTTCCTAGATTGATTTCATCCTTCAAACTTGAATGAATGAATAAATAAGTAAATATTATGGGATAGTTTTCTAAATATTCCAGCAAAACTTGTGTTCTCCATTCACTCAAACCCATAAAATATTTTGCCCAGACTTGAAATACCAAGTTGATTCATCCAAAAATTCAGATTAAAAAAATTGAGCATGATTAATAGCCCCATAAGATAATGGCAGAAGTGAACATAAATTTTCAAAGTATTTCCTGCCAAGGAACTTATTACACTATGCTCTGTAAAAATAAAGGTAAAAGTTGACAGGAGGGGAAGCAATGCAAATAAGCAATTAAAATGTAGAGAATCAGCCATAATAACAGAGTAATTCTGTTCATAGGAATTTATTCTAGGGAAATAATTCAACAGATGTTCAAAGGTTTCTGCACAAAGATTTTTCCCTTCCATGTTACAGAAAATGTCAAAAACTAACACAAGAACAAACCACTGGAGAGTACATTAATAAATTATAGCATAGCAATATCATGGAAATGTGTTACGTTTTGTATTGAGTAAAGATTGTCATTTACCTTCCAGAGAGTTCCCAAAGGATGTATTTTAATCGTACTTATGCTAGAACTTGTTTTAATGATACAAATCATTTTGTTATTGTCTCTTCCTTGTGTACTTTCCCTTATTCTTGCTATTTGTTTCATAATCAGTATAATTCCAGGAAGATACAAATTCTGAAACCAATCTTCAGATGCTTTAAAAACTTACACATCATCTTCAATAGGGAAATGGTTCAGGGAGAAATACAAGGTTGACTAAAGGGAGAAACTTCGTAAGAAAACAAGATCAGGCTGGAGAAAATTCAATAAGGTATTAGTTAAAGTTTCTGGCATTTTAGAGTTTATCTTATTCCTAAGACAGATGAATTATTTTCCAGTGGGAACTTCTTCTTTGATTTTTGTACATGAACAACTTCAAAGGCCTTGA